ACTAAATGGGAGTGTACGGCCATATTGATGGGTGTGCGGCCAGGGGAGTGTGCGGCCGCACACTCATGGTAAAGTGTGCACAAAATGTTTTCCAAATGGTGGGGAGGCTTGTAGGACAGATGCTCATCAAGTTTTGAAGCTAGAAGGGCACTTTGGAAGCCCTAAAGCACCAAACAAAGGGGTGTGCGGTCACATGAGTGTGTGCGGCCGCACACACCTTGATGAACATGTTTTGGGAGTTTTCTAAGGCTCATATCTGGTAAGCAACAAGCTTGGGGAATGGTGCTTACAATATGGAAGCCTTTAGGGGTGTTTGAAGGGTGTTTTGAGGGTTTTTGAGGGGTGTACGGCCACATGAGTGTGTGCGGCCGCACACACCTTGTGTTCTTGAGTTCTGGGCATTTTCAAGGACTTAATCTAGTGTTCTTAACAAGATTCAAGCATAAGGGAAGAGTACTTACGATTCGGAAGCTCGAGAAGGCTCAAAATCGGATGATAGTTGAGAGAGAAATCGAGTTTTAAGCCTTGGAGAGAGAAAAGGAATGAATGAAGGCCAAGCCCCTCCTTTATACACGTGAGTGTGCTGCCAGGAGAGGGGTGTGCGGCCGCACACCCAGTGTGCGGCCGTACACTCCTGATGTTGGAGTGTAAGGCTCGGTTTTTGTTGCTAAAAGTGTACGCGATCCATTTCTATGTTCCACGCTTGAATGTACTGACCTTTGGACCTTTAAACGGACTCCAACTGAGGCTAAATGATAGTAGGAACGAGTCTGACACTCAGTTGACTTGACTGGCTGGGCTTTGCAAGGCAAAATTTTAAAATTTTTCGGGTTGTCACAGGTTGTTAGTGATCGGAAACAACAGCAAGGTAGTAATGGTGGCCGTTGGAACTTCCCCAACAACAGTGGAAGGCGGCGATGGCAGCCAATGGTGATTGAACTCACGACGATAACATCGATCGGTGGCAGCTTTGCCTATTTCTTCCTCTTCTTCGGTTGTAAACAACGAGTGGAGAGAGTGAGAGGTAACACTGGTGATGGAGGGGTTATGGTATTCGAAGGAGGAGGTAGGTTAAGATGGTGGTGGCAGGCAGCGTTCTCAACTGCATGTCGTGTGTCGTTCTGATGCTCGTAGACGAGAAAGGAGGTGAACGAAGATGGGGACATCGGAGGGAGGAAGCAGCAGCTTTGATCGATGGTGGGGTGTTTGGATTGTTGAGTATTAAGTGAGAGAAAGAGAAAGAGAGAGAGAGAGAGAGAGAGAGAGAGAGAGAGAGATAGATATTCTTTTTTATTTTTCTTTTAATCGAAAAAACATTTAAATAAATTAAAAAAATAGAAAAAGAAAGTACCAAGGGTAAAATAGTCATTATGAAAAAGTTTATAGAAAACTGGACCAAACTCGCAACAAAATGAAAAGTTTGGACCTCTGGTGATAGTCCAAACCTTTTTGGACCAAAGTGACAATTTTCAGCTAACTACATGGACGATTTGTGCAGTTTTGTCTTTTGTCAAATACTCATATAATAAATGTTACAACTTTCAGCTTCTAGTTATCAGCTAGTTTTGTCAAACGCACCTTAAATCCAACATTACTAAATCCAACACTATTAAAATGAAAAATAAACATTAAGAACTTGTATTAATACATAATAAGTGGGAATTTCAATTTTATTTGAAAATGTAACAACTTTATAAACCTTTTTAAAAAATAACCATCTTTTTGGATTTTTAAAAAATAACCACACTGTCTGGAATGTTACATTCTAAACATGTTTCGGATCATCCACATCGTTAATCTAACCTGTTACTGTGGTCCCCCATATATATCATCTCGGACAACCACTCCAGTCACGCATTTCAGACTACACTTTATTCTCCAACCAACCTTTGGGAGTCGCATGAAATCGCATTTCGGACTTACACTTTGTTGAAAGATGTCGTCTGACATTGGAGAGCTCGAGCATCTATGGGAATGTATCGTTTCCTTTATATATTATTATCGATTTGCCTCACTTAGGGTGCATCTTGTTGTGGAAAATTGTTTTCATTTTCCAAGAAAATGTTTTCAAAATATAAAGTTGAGTTTTCAATGAGAATTTTAGAAAACGTGTTTGGTTGAAATCGATGGAGTTTTCATTTTATATTTTAGAGATTTAGAAAACTTTGGAAAACTATAAAATTCAATTTTCTGATATACATACAATTTGGAAAATTGAAAACTTTCATTTTATTGAAAAAAATTTGAAAACTAAATTAACCAAACGCGTTTTTAAAATTTTCATTTTCATTATGAAAAATTTCATAGAAAACTAGAAAATTTTGCACAACTAAACAAATTCTTAGTATGTTCAAAAAATATTAGTGTGTTGTTAGTAGCTTTTAATAGGAAATAATACGTGTTAACAAGATTTTGGTTTTATTTAGCCTTTTTGTATGGTTAATATTACTATTAGCAACAATTACTACAAGTAAAACCCTAAAAAACTTGTTCCTGCTTCCTAAACACTCGAAATGTGAAGATCGAGTCTAGAATCCGTAGAACTTCTCCGGAATGCAGTCCGAAATACATGCCATTGTAGTCCGAAATACACTTCATAACATTACTACGGAACAACCGTTCTATACTGAAATCCGAAGTGAATTTTTTAGTAGAATCATGTTAAACATCATTCTCTCTTTGTTCCTGCCTTGCAACTAAAAGTGTGATAATTGAGAAATAAAATCTTGCCATATACTCCAAACTTGTGTTACAAAGTCCACTACATGAATAGAAGTATGTAAAAAAAAAAAACAAAACTACTTCACAAAAGAAAACATCAAATGTGTGTTACATATCTTGTAGTCATCATCGTGGTATATCTGGTGACAAATTATGCAGAAAGTCATCATCGCCATTTTCAAGTGTACTACTACTTGATGGTTTTGCGCCAGCTGCCACAAGGTTTTTAAGCCAAAGAGGTGGGCCACCCCCTTTACTTGAACTCCCTGATGAATCTGTACCCATACTCACACTTGTGGTGGTGTTTGAAGCTATTCCAGCAAGAAATTGATACGCCACTTTGCTAGCTGTCACAATCTCTGTTTTAGCTTGTCTCAACTACATTCATTTAAATAAATAACTTAAATTAGACCAATATAATTGCAGCAAACTGTTAATATAAAATAATTAAATCACAAAAATGACCATTATAGGTAAGAGTAGTTGAAGAAAGAAAGAATAGGTGATAATTTTGTAATAGATGTTGAAAATTTGGTTATTTTGGTCATTTTTGTGATTAAGTATATATAAAAGCTCAAAACTGCTGACCCGAAAAGCAGTGTTTTCTGCTATTTCTACAGCAGTATCCCCAGCATTAGCAAATCTGTTCACCCAACCTGTTAACATATTGTTGTATAAAATGGTTATATAATCTTTAACCACAAAATAGTGTTGTATAAAATTAAAATTTGTACATTTTGTAAAGGAGAATGGGAATAACCTGGAAGTTTAGACACACCGAGTCTTTCACAAAACTCATCGCAAAAATGATTACAGTTTTTTGACAGCAAGTCATAACAGTCTCCTGGCCATTCCCTACTAAGTTCCCTCAAGATCTGATTCACTTTTAAGATTGAAAGCCCTGTTTTCCCAAGAACAATGCATTCTCGATATGTGTACATGGGATTTTTCCCAGAAGGGCAATTGAAAACCCCACTTCCCTGTTCACAAAACCCAAATGACCATTCATCCGCTCCATAAACCTGCCATACATATGAAATTATGATGTGCAAATTCAATATTCCTTAGGTAATTGATAAAAAATAGTGAACTTGTATTTATCACGAATGTTCTGTACAGTGATTGATCTACTCTATAGTTTAGTAATCAGTGGATCCACTCCAAAATTGTAATATGATGAAACGCAAAGCAAAATTCATCCACCAGTGAACAATAATTGAAACCCTAAATCAATATAGCAACAATTTAATCGATTGATGAGAGAGAGAGAGAGAGAGAGAGAGAGAGAGAGAGAAATGGAAAGAGAGGAGAAGACCTGAACGGCGCTGTGGAAGATACCGCCGATTCCTATTCCATCTTTGAAAATCTTGTTGATCTGAACAATGGTGTTGTTGGCCTTTTCGGAATCACTGTTGGTTACATCATATATATGGAGCATCACCTCCGTCATCTCTCTGTTTGTTTTATTTCTATTTGAACTGGATCCACAAACCCTAACCCTCGCCTCTCCCTCCCTAACACTATCTTGATTTGAGATCAATCCTCCTGTTTCGGAATTGACAATGACGAACACGAATCAAAATGAATTAAAAGGGGAGTAGTAGGAAAAAACGGATTTTGAACTCGAACAACAGTCGTCATCAATTCATCATGAACTTCGATCGTAGAGGTTTTCCTTTTTGGAGTCGCACTCCCACGAGATATGTGTCGCCATTTCTCTATTCAATTTAACCTTTTTAGTCTTCGTGTGGCCAACCGAACCAAGACGTAAATGAAATGCTTTTTGCTTTTTCGAGTAAGTTGAAAAGCATCATCTAATTCCAAATTAATGTTATTATTAACTAATATTAAAGATGATTGCACAAAAAAAGGAAAAATAATTGATTTGCCGCAATATAACTTCAAAAAGAATGTGAAACGTTCATAACGAAGAATTTATACATTTACAAGAAAATATATACATATGCATTACATTTGAAGCAAATAACAAGATATACAACAAGCTATATACATATATATACAGCAAGCTATATACATATATGTTGGAAGAAAATTTTATAACCTAATACCTAGATGCGAAAAGACGGTTCCTCATTGAACATAATGTGAAACGGTGTTTCTTTTTTTTCAGTTAGATTTGAGCATGAGATGTCAAAAACTAACTTTTAGGTAAGTTAGATTTGAGCATGAGATGTCAAAATGTATGGAATCAACTTCGAAGCTTGGAGTCATTCCCATTCTTCTCAGTGCAGAGTGGATAACAAGAGAAATTGTCAACGTACTGCTGGAAAATACGTAAAGTGGAAAATGAGATAATATATTGGTTAATTATAAGAATAATTACTAATTTAGCAATTAAGTTACTAATTAAAAATTTGCTCCATAACAAAATATCATGAATATAAGAACAATTTGATAGGTTTTAAGGAATTTTTTTTATCACAAGTAGATTATTTTACGTTTTTAACTGTGAGGAGCAATTTCATATTTTTTTGGAAACTCATCCTAGACTGGTTACGAAATTGGTAGTTCTGCTTGTTATTGGTAAGATAATGGCTAAATTGTTAAGACTAATTCACAAATATGATGTGTGATTGATGTTACGTTGATATTCACTGATCTATGAAGTTGAAGTAACTCTATCCAATCAATCATAATAGGCAAAGACAACACAATGCAAGTCGTTAGCATTATCGAGTCAGAGATAAGGTGTATATCTGTGTATATAATTATGTGTGTTAGTTGTCTTCTCTTTGTCCATCTTCTCATATCGAGTCAGAGATAAGGTGTATATTTGTGTATATAATTATGTGTGTTAGTTGTCTTCTCTTTGTCCATCTTCTCATATGTTTTACAGGATAAACTCTTAAGACATCCCGATGATATTTTCTAATTTGGAAGATTCTTTGTGGGTGTTAACATATGAGGTTAGGTAAGGGTTTGTTATTTCTTATAGGTAGATTTTGTCATTTTTGCTAGATATGGGAGATCTTGTGGATAACATATATATGATGTTGTCGTTGACCAACCTCGATTTGCCTCTTTGGTATTTGACAATGTAGATCGAGACTAACCATCAAGATTTAGACACGAGTCCTCCCATTAAATCTTTCGACCCAAGGGCGTATTTATGTACTGTGAAGGTGGGTCCTAGGACCCACCTAATTTAAAAAAAGAATAGTATAAATTATGCATGAAAAAAAATAGGAACTACCTTATAATTTTTCAGTGACCTATCTTATAAACTTTTTCAAAAAGAAAGTAGATCAAAAAGTATAAAGCCTATGATTTATATATCAATCGACTTAAAATGGTTCAATGCCTCAATCCACTTAAAATGTAATAATTAGGCAATAGTCCATCCATTTAAAATTAAACAGAAAAGGAAAAAAATAGCAAAATAGGCTTGAAATATGAAATGCCGCTTGGGCTGAGGCGTGATCAACATCTCAGAAGCATCATACAATGTCGCCCTGATGATTGCTCCCACCCGGCCACCAGTTCCGCCATTTGTCGTTCACCGTTTGACCATCGCTATCGGCCCAACACCGCCCCTCCGCCAGTTCCGCCCTATGTCATTCACCATCCGATCATCACTACCCGCCCAAGACCGCCCCTCCGCCAGGCGCTAGCCCACCACTAGTATTATTTACTCTTCATTTTTCGTTTTCACTTACATAAGGAACCATGTGGTTTTTGGTTCTAGATTCGCCACTGTTTCGACCCATGTGATAATTTAAACGATCAACTATATTATTGTTAGGACTCTCTTTCTGATTTTCCTGTAGCTCATCAAGCTACACACATTACTTAAGCAAATGTCATTGTTAGGACTCTCTTTTTGATTTTCCTGTAGCTCATCAAGATTTAGACACAAGTCCTCCCATTAAGTCTTTCGACCCAAATGATAATTTAAGCGATCAACTATATTATTGTTAGGACTTTCTTTTTTATTTTCCCGTAGCTCATCAAGCAGCACACATTATTTAAGCGTATGTCTTCGTTGTACGATAACAATTATCTCGACGTATTAAATACAAAAACACTTAAACTCTATACTAATTAACCAATATCAAAGTCTATTTTAACCCAGTGGACTAATTTATATTTATGGCATTTAAATACATTAAACTCATTTTATTCTAATTGAATGTTAACTATTCGACTTTTTAATATAAAATAACTTAATTTATAAATTTCAATATAAGGGTGGATGTAAAATATTATCCTTTTAATGCAATTACCTTTTATTAAGCTAATATAGTTAATTAATTATTTTAAAAAGGGGTAATCAACATTGTATGATCGGTCAACGTCATCAAACTTAAAGATACATGTGAGAGGTCAATCGCGGAACACTGATAATATTTTGGACATGTCAGACTTTGAATCGTAAACTTATTGTGTGAAATTTCGTACATCAACCACCACGTCTCATCGTGGAGCCTTAATTATCTTTAAAATTTGATATTAAAAGTTATATTTAATTTCTAATTCATAACTTATAAGTTGAGACCATTAATATTATATATATATATATATATATATATATATATATATATATATATATATATATATATATATATCTTAAAAGATTTGTAATGTTCTACATATGAATTTTATGTAATAATTATTATATAATTGTACTAGGTTAGAGACCCGTGGAAACTAGGGATGAGATTTAGAACCGGAAAACCGGAATCGGACTGGAACCGGAATATGTAAAATCGGTTAAAGAATGGGTCTATACGGGTTCCGGGTAATCGGGGTTTCGGGTCCTTCGGGTCCGGGTAAACTGGGTTTAAGAACCGGAACCGTGTTAGGAACCGGAACTGATTTTAGGGGCCGGAACTGGTTTCTATGAAAAGTTTAAAACATGCATATCTCATTCGTTTGAAGTCGGATTGACATGATGTTTTTTCCAGGGTGTAGGTAAAAGTTTGTATATGATTTTAGACTATAATATTGTCATTTTTGGGTTTATATTCATTAACTTACAGTCTCTCAAAGTCGGGATATCAAAGCTGGAAATTTTATTTTTTTCAGCTTTTTTTGTATTCTGTGATAGATTTAAAACGTGCATATCTCATTCGTTTGAAGTCGGATTGACATGAATTTTTTTTTTCAAATAGTTTGTACATGATTTTAGACTATAATTTTGTCATTTTTGGATTTTTATTCATTGACTTATAGTCTCTCAAAGTCGGGATATCAAAGCTGGAAATTTTATGTTTTTCAGCTTTCTTTGTATTTTGTGGTAGTTTTAAAACATGTATATCTAATTTGTTTGAAGTCGGAATAGCATGCGGTTTTTTCTAAAGTGTAGTATAGAGTTTGTACATTATTTTAGACTATATTTTTTTTTCATTTTTGATTTCATATTCATTGATTTATAGTCTCCCAAAGTCGGGATATCAATAACTTTATTTTTGTATTCTGTGAAATTTTAAACCATGCATATCTAATTCGTTTGAAGTCGGATTATCATGGGGTTTTTTTCAACATGTAGTTTAGAGTTTGTATATGATTTTAGATTATAATTTTGTCATTTTTGGTTTAATATTCAATGACTTACAGTCCCCCGAAGTTTGGATATCAAAATTGAAAATTTTCAAATTTCAACCACTAAGTAATTACCAAAAAATTCCGGTTTTCCCGGGTTTCCCGGTTCTAGACTCACTTTACCCGGTTCCAACTGACCCACTTTGATATTTTCGGGTTTTCCGGTTCTAGACCCACTCTACCCGATATCTTACCCGTAACCGGTTCCTATATACCGGTCCGGTTTCCGGTGCTACAAAATCTCGTTAACCGGTTCCCGGGTTTTTCGGGTCCGGATCTACCGGTCCAGGTTTGGACCCACTCTCATCTCTAGTCGAAACCACATGTTTATAAAAAAATTAATTTTATAGACACAAAATTACATGTGACAAAATGAATGAGAGTGTGACATGTGATAACAAAGATTTTTATTTATTATAATAAATTTGAGATTATTTAAATTTCTCATTATATATGTCAATAGAATAAAGCTTATAAATTTTAGATATAATAATAAAATAAATATTCTAAATAGTTGTATAGGCGGTTTTTGTATATATTAGGAAATCTCATTGGGTTATATATATATATATATATATATATATATATATATATAT